AGGGTGGTGGGGTGGTCACGGGAGGCCCAGGTGTGGGGGGGTCATTGGGGGCTTACCAGGGGGCCCTTCCCCCTTTCTGATCCTTAGCGGGGCTGACAGTAGGGGTGGGGAGGTGCAGAACAATTATGACCTATTTCGCAATCAGTACTAGGCCCATGGATAGGTTTTTGGGGAGTCTGCTTTCTTAGGGGACCCACTGATTTTTTTTCCCTTGGGATGCAAAACTGCCCTCAGGGTACCCGACCCTCTTTCCCGTAGTTGGAAATCGGAGACAACAAGAGCCACCTCATAGGGTCACCGTGAGGATAGAGGGAGGTGACATGCTCGCACTGCCTGGCCACAGGAGGGGTTTAATAAGCAGTAGCTGTTGTTACCGGGGTCTTCTGGTTCCTTCCCTCTCCTCTAGACTTACTGATGTGATGCAGTGAAACACAAGGGGTGAAGCAGCAGGTGGGCAGCTGGAGGAGCAGGGGGCCCGGCCCTGCCCTCCCTGGACAGACTAAAACGCAGGGTGCAGCGGCCCAGGGACATGCGCAGCGGGCTGAGCCAGAGGGGCCGCGGGCCTCGCTGCTGTGGGGTCTCCTGCCTATTGTCTTTGCCATGGGCTCTCCGAAGGGACTCTTCCTTTGCCATCCTGTGAGGATGACAATAGGGAAATAAACACGAGGTGACTATTAGACAAGCTGGATTGCAGGCTTCCTTCCTTCCTCGTTTCAAGTCCCTGGTTGTCTTCCTGCGATTAGCACGTTTAAGAATCTACATGAAATCGCCGTCAGCGACGTGGCGGTGTGTCATCTGCTTTAGCGTCAGGGTTTCAAACTGCCTTTTTCTCAGCGCACATAGCCCGGTCAGTTTCTTCTCACCTACTTTCAAGTTAGAGCACTCCTTGCTCTGTTTTCTTCTGAGCTCCATTCCCCCGAAGCCCAGGTTCCCTTCGTGGGAGTAGGAGAGGCTCCGAGACTGAGACTCGGGCTGCCCCTTGTCCCCCTTCTGCGGCTAGTGCCGGGCACCTTGGCACCCAGCCCTCCAGCAAGGACTTTTAAACACTGGCTTCTTCCCACTAGACCAGGGCTGGGGACCGTCCGGATGCACACGGCCCGCGAAATCATTTGGCCTGGCCCTGCCAAGGCAACCGCAGATGGGGCTCGAAATTCAGTAAATCCTGGAGCTTTTCTCATAGCTAATTTTTAAGTTGGTAATTTTGTATGGCCTGCAAATAATGTTATAAATATCCAAATGGCCCTTGGCAGAAAAAAAGGTCCCCCACCCCTGCACTAGACTGCGCTCTGTGGAGGCAGGGGTGGGACTTTGATTCCTTGTCGTCGCCCGCCACGGCGCCCAACCCGGTTTCCCGGACACCAGCCAGTTCGCACCTGTGTTGGGTTAGCTGCCGGGGGACCGCGGGTGGACGGTGCGGGCCCCCCTCCAGCATGTAGGGTGAAGAAAACCCCAGTGTCAGCCGGCCCATCTGCCACGCTGGCGTCCAGCCGCCACATCGAGGTGCCGCCAGCTCCCAGTTCGGACACTGTCTTCTGTTGTTGGAGCACTGTGACCTGCCCACGTCTCCCCTGCCCAGTGTGGCCCCCCGGGCCGGCGAGTGCCTTGGGAGCGGCCTTGTTGCCAAACGGAAAGCACAAAATAGCACACATTTGAATTGCAGAGGAGAAACTGGAACAAATAAAGACGCATTAAACTCACAGACCAAACAGGCGCATTTGGAGTCGGCCGGGGATTTGACTTTGGAAGGACTTTGCGAACCTATTTAGGAGAGCAGAATGTTGTTTAATTTTAGTGCGGTTTTGTTGTTATAAGGAAAACATTGGCGTGGCCTCCACACAGGGCCGCCTCAGTCTTTCTGGCCCGTGGCCCTGGGATCTCGTTGGGTCCTGCGAGTCTGCACTTGGGTTACACACGGGTGATGACGGGACAGGTGTCTTTGCTCCAGGCACTTCTGCTCTGATCAGCTCCTGTGTGCGCCCCCATCTCTCCCTGACATTTTGCAAGGCCAAAATATTTTGATGAGCCTGCCTGTGTTCCCATCGTAGGGTGAAGCCCCAGGCCTCAGTTTACAGGGCATGTTGGAAGCCTCACGGTGCTCCAGGATGGACAAATAACGATAGGAGTCACGGTGGTGGCGGCAATATTAATAACAGTGATAGAAGACATATGGGATGTGGGTCAGGCCACCCACTGTTCTCAGTGCTTATACTTAACCCTCACAGCAACTTTATGAGGCATTGTTACCGTCATTCCCGTGTTAGAGATTAGGAATGAAGGCACAGAAAGGTTTAGTAATTCCCCTAAGGTCACACAGCGCCAGTGCTAGGATTTGAACCCAGGGCCCTGGCCATGTTTCTGTTCCATTAGTAATAAGTACATCACTTGTAAGCCACTGGAGGGGCATCGGGCCAAGATAATCCGAGAGATTCAGGAGGAAAGAGCTCTGGGGACACTGGGGTTTTCCTGAGGCCACACGGTAATGGTGGAACACAAACTCAGATGTGGCTTCCTGACTGCAAAAAGCATCCTCCCTTTTCACTGAACCGTTCTCCGGCGAAAAGATTCCAAGCTCAGGCCTTTTCGGAGTGAGGGAGGAATTGGCTCACTGTGTGCGCAGAAGCTTCCAGAGGTACCCAGCCTTATGGGACAGGTCTGCTTATGACATATTTTGTCTAAATGAAGTTAAGCCATTTTGGAGCCAGGAAAAGTAGCTGTTGCTATTTAAAGGACCTTCTGCTATTTCGCCCCCTAGGCAAGGGCTCACTCCCTAGTTTACCTTCTGTGTCGATGAAGATGGAGAAGGGGAAGCCAAAGGAATTCAGGAAGAATCGATAGGAAAGTCCTGGCGGATGGGCTTTCTGCTTGATAGTTCAGCTGTTACCACCTGCCTGTGGGAGTGACCGTGGAGGAAACAGTTCCCGGGCGCCTGGGAGGACGGCTCCCGGCCGAGGATGCTGCTGTGAAGTGGACGCAGAGGCACAGGCTCGAGGGAGCCTGGCCCGGGACCTCGCCAGCCTCTGGTCTGTCCAGCAGACTTGGAAGCAGCCCCTCGCTGCCTCCCGGTGTGAGCCGCCTTCGCTACGTGGCTGCCTTTGCCAGGGGGCCCCGTGTGCTGCCAGCCATCCCTGGCAGGAGGGTCTGGAGGGGCCGTTAATCCATCTGAGCCCTGACTTCAGGTCTGACTGGGGAAGTAGGATCCAAGCTCGTCTGGGAAGGAACAGGACAGAATCCCGTTGGGATGGGGAATTTGTTCCCAGTAAACAGAGAGAAATCGGTTTCCATCTTTGAACGGAGGGGCAAAGTTTGTTCTCCTAACTGGTGGTTCATAAACTTTTATGAGATTAGAGTGGAGGAACCGAGAGACACGGTGGGACATGCGAAATGGGGAAGGATAATGGAGCCGGCGGAATGGGCAGGGTGTGTGTGTGTGTGTGTGTGCAACTTGTGATTCAAAGGTGGCCGCTGTACATGCAAAAACCCATTCCACTCCAGTCAAGGTCTTGGCATCCAGACCCCCTTGATGGAGACCTTGCCTCCACGGCAGCCCCCCCACCCAGCTTTTCTTACTGGTTCTTATCACTAGATGACTTTTTCTTTGGCTGAGCCAATGAATGTGACTTCTGTGCAATTTCCGAATTCTGTCTTCGAGACCTACCTCCCGTGTGCCGGCTTTACAAACATTTGAAGGCAGCTTCTTTTGTCACAAGAAGTAAAAAAGAGAAAGCCCAGCTTCTCTAAGTCAGCCCCTCTCTTCTCTGTCCCCACTGCATGCAGTAAATGCCCCTCTCCCAGCCACGGTCACGCTGGGCCTGCCTAATGATTTCCGTATTCACGATCGCTCAGTGTTTACGGAGCACCTTCTTTCTCCCAGGCGCCGCAGTAAGAAGTTTCACAGGACCTTTTGTTTAATCGTCACTGCAATTCCCTGACATGGGTGGAGTGACACCCCCTTTACAGATGAGAAAACTGAGGCTCAGAAAGAAGATGTGTCTTCACTTCTCTGTCAGTACCCTTATCTGTATAATGTGGATGCCAGTGCTCCCCTTGTCAGGGTTGTGAGGGGCAGTGGGGATGCACTATTGCACCTAGTAGGCGTGCAATAAATGGGAGCGGCTTTTCTGGTTGCAGTCCTTTCGAGGTCAGTCCATTCTGTTTTTGGCAGTGATGATAATCGTGGAGATATTAACATTTATGTACTACAGCCAGGACACAGTGCCACGAGTTTCACAGGTATTATCTTGCCTAATCCCTTCAAATTCAAGAGATTGGTGCCACTAGTATCCCGGTTTCACAGAGGAGGAAACTGGAAGCCAGAAACAAAGTTGCTTGCTCACAGTCATAATAGCCATAAAGAGCAGAGCTGGGACTAACACAGTTTAGTTGGCTCCCGAGTCCACACTCCCAAGCACTGCCCCCCACCACACCCTTGCCGAGCGACAGGCTACTGCATCCTTTGCCATCGGAGTGCTGGGCACCCAGGATCCCCTCAGGATGCTGGCTGGGGCATGAAGGGAGGCTGGGGTGCATGGCGACAGAGCAGATATGTCAGGACATGGTGAACTTACAGGCAAAGGGAGAGCCCCAGATGAGGCTCAGGAAGGGGTCCTGTTAGAAAGAGAAAAGGTCTGGGAGACCAGGGGAATCTCAGATGGGCAATGGAGGGAGGGCAAGAAGCTCTAACAGGTGGAGTAGATTTGGGATTCTGGTGAAACCAGAGTCCAGAACTCCTCAGGGGTGAGTGCAGCCTGGGAATGTACAGGGCTGGCGATTGTGAACATTGGGAGTAACTAACCCGAATGATGACAGCCTTCCCTACCTCTTCTACCCTCCCTCCCCACCCCAGTGTCTCTCATCTGAACTCTCTGATAAACACAGTATCTATTCTAGTTGGCTCACAGGTACGAAAGCAATGCGAGGCCGTCCAATCGGCTGGATGTCCACCCGATTGTGGCTCGGGCCTCGCTAACCTCCTCTCTGTCTCTGTCTTGCCTTTTCTGCAGTGATCCGGGCCAGAGTGGTGGGGAAGAAGCTGGTGAAGGAGGGGCCTTTTGGCACATTGGTCTACACTGTCAAGCAGATGAAGGTGAGTGGCAGCAGCCTGGCTTCAGGAGGGTTTGTGGGTTTGTTTTGCCAGAAGAGGCCTGGCCGGTGGAGGTCAGGTAGTCTGGAACCAGGGTGTGAGTTTGCTCAGTATCTGAGCCCCAGGTCCAGCCCTTCTGCCCTGCTGGAGAGGGTGTTGCTGAGGCGGCGGAAAGGTGGGGGGGGATGGTGGCTGCTTCATCCCAGAGCCAGTGCAGGTGGGGTCCCTCAGAGGCGGCTGTTAAGAGGCTGGGCTCTGGAACCGGACAGCAGACAGACAGCCTTGTTACCTGGTAACTATGAGACCTTGGCCAACTCACAGCACAATCATCTCTGGGCCTCAGTCTCCCCGCCTGTCTTATGAACTCTTTCAAGCTCTGACTTGGAATTTTGACAATGCCTACAGGTCTTGTGCAGCCACTGAGGTTGCAACTTAGGTTTGAGCCCTTGAATTTTTACACTGAACTTGTGCTGATCACAGAAACCTCATTGTGAGGTAGGAACTGGGACCTCTGGCCTGTTTTCCCAGCTTTAACGGTCTTCTTGCACCCCAGCTAGTTAGCATCATTTGCTGAGCACATTCATACAACTAAACATAGCCCTGCACATGTTCCCATTGTGAGCACACTAAGGAAGTCCGCCTTAAGGAAATGGACACCGGATTCGAGACCGAGAGAACCTGCTTCCTGGTCTCAGCTCCACTCCTGAGTAGCTCACTGACCTTGGAACCCTCCCTTTCCTGGGCCTTGGTTTTGCCATGTGGTAACTGTGCGGGGCGGGGCTTGGTGCCCCTGGGACATTGGCCACGTTGCTTCTAAACAGGAGCTGCTTGAGGTGCTGGATAATGTGGCCCTGGCCCATCACCCACCTCTGTAAGCACCTCCCTGTGTACAGTGCTATGTGCCAGGAGCCGTGGAAGCCCCTTGGAAAATGGGGTTCCTGCATTTAGGAGCTATAGTTGGGTGGAGAGAGAAGACACATGGGTGACAAATGAGAAACTTGAGATGGTGCACTCAGGTCCAGGTGAGCTGCCAGCCCCTTACTCATTGCTCACATCTGCACCCCCAGCATTAGGGGGGATGACACAGCCCTCGGGAGGTGCCCATACTTCCCAGAGGCGGACTGCAGGCCTCTCTTTCTGCATCCTGAGGCCTGAGGTTGGATGTACTAAGCCAGGAGAACCTGCTGCTTTGAGTTTGGAAACATCCACAGCCTTCTGGTTATGTAATGTCCAGAGTCAGCCCTGGCCGGCTGCCCTTGGCTGCCCTTGGCTGCCCGAGCCTGGTCATGGGACCCGCTTATGTCTTCGGACGGCCATGGTGAGAGAACAGTGGGTGGAGGGGGGACCAACAACAACCCAGAAACCTACTGCGCAACCCCTGGCTGCTGGCGAGTGAACCAAAGCGCGTTAGACAGAAGCTGAGGTTTAGGAAACATTCCCTGCCTGCTCTGCACAGTCCTGCATGTTGGCGACTCTCTGTGGCCAGCAGACAGCTGCAAGGAGAGACCTGGGAGGCAGTGGTTCCTGGGTCCCTTTTTCTTCAGGCCTGAACCCCAGCATGGTCAGAAGTCCTTCCTGTGGGCAGATGTCCTATTTCCACTCAGTGGTGTCAGACCAGCCACTGGGGGATGGGGGAGTGTTTCGAGGCCAAATAACATTTGCTCGTCCATTAGCTTCAGAGCCCCTGGCCCCCACTTCCAGGACGCTGGTCTTACACTGTCCATTCACCATCCTTCACCTAGGTTCATAACCAGGGTGCTGGGCATTAGAACATAAAATCCCTCATTTTACTTCTGACAGAGACTCAAAGGGGAAATGATTTATTCAGAAGTCATGCAATTAATTAAAGGCATGTCTGGCCCCCAAACTGAGGTGTCAGGATTCCTTCCCAATTTGTGTGTGATTCCCTAGATCTCCTGCCATCTTACTGTGATCATCAATCACTATCTAATGCCTTTTATTTATGCCCCTCCTTCCAGCCCAATCTTAGATAACCCATAGAACTGCTCACTGCCCGTCTATCCAGAGAGGCCCCTGAATTCTGCTGGTCTCCAGGTGCCAGTCTGTTAATCAGAGAAGGTGACGCAGGAGACTCCTCTCTCTCCCCTCCTTTCTCACCTTATGGGTGCTTAGCACTGTGCTTCCAGCTGGGGCTACGAAGATAATATTTGTTGCAATGAATACAAGACTCCTTACGGGTAATATTTATTGAGCGTTTGCTATATCCACAACAGCTCTATGGAACAGATACACGTTACCCTCTATTTTAGAGGGGAGGCGACTGAGACTTGGAAGGTCATACAACTTGAGTCAAGATCATAGAGCTAGAAAGTGGCAAACCAGGGCCAAAACATAGTCCTCTCCTACACGGAGATTCCAGAGCGGTGGAGCAGTGGGCCGATTCATCATTCCTGCCCACCTTGGGGGCCACCCCACCCCATTTGTACCTAGTTCCCCCAGGGAACACAAAGAGATTAGCTTGAGTTTATGGGTTTGCAGCAGTGTAGCTTTTGACTTGCAATATCCTGCAAAGAGTGTAACAAAAAAAAATCTTTGTAGGAGGGAAGGGGGAGAGGCCAGGGAGGCCAGCCTGCGTGAGTTTTGGCACTGGTCCCTGGGGCACTTTATTCTAGCGGGCTAGAGAGTCTACCCAGAGATGGGGGAGGCCAGGGCTCCCTAAGAGCAGGCCTAAAGGGACTCGGAGAGCTGGAGGAGTCAAGCCACCCTGTTGGACCTCTCCCTTCATTCTCAGAGCCCCCCCCTCCTCCCCAAAAAACCCTTCTCACCCCGATGAGATATAGGCAGACTCTCTCCCACGTGCTCATTCCAGAGCCTCTGGACAGTCTCTCAGGCACATCTCGAGCGTGCAGAGACCCCTAGGTGTGTGGTAGTGGTGGTGGGGTAGTGGTGGTGGGGTAGGGGTGTTAGAATGTTGAGGGAGCTCCCTGCAAACCCAAACTTGGAGATTAGCTGGAGCTGAGCCACGGGGCTGTGGTGCAAAGGTGGAAGTTGCCAGAACTGGCCGCTGTAATCTATGGGGACCTTATCTCCTGTCGCTACCATGGGAAAGCAGTGTGCTTGGCCAGGGGCTGTAGTTTGTGCAGTAGAGACATGCTCTCAGGCCAGCTGCAGGGGACAGCACGTGGGGGACATTATGTCTCAGCTGGACCCAGGGGGAGGCCCGCTGGTCATGAGCTGTGCATGTTCTGACTCTGACAGGATAGATCTGCTGGGCAATTGCAATGCTTGGCCCCCAGGGATTCCTTAGCAGGGTCTTGCCTCTGAAGCTCCAGCTGGGAGCCTCTCCGACACCCCCGCCCCCAGCACACAGCATCTCTTCCTCCCTTTGCCTGTGACTCTTTATGGTCTGGGTCTTGCCAGCCTTGTGCAGGGACTGACTCCATTCTCGTGCCCTGCCTCCCCAGCTAGACAGACGCTCCATAAGAGAAAGACCGTGCACTTGGTGTCACAGCCACGTACTAGCTGCGTGAAGATCCGATATTACATGAGAAATGTGCCAGTTCCCTCAGACTTAGAAACTCCTCCCTCACATTGTGTCCCTTCACCCCAAGGGAAGTGAACTTCTTGGAACTTTGTGGAGCTACCACCAAGGTGGGAGGCCCAGGGGCTTGTAGAGTGCAAGTGTCAGAGACACACACAGACACAATAGAATATCATTCACCCATAAAAAAGAAATCTTGTCATTTGTGACAACAGGATGAACCTGGAAGACGTGCTAAGTCAAATGAGCCAGACACAGAAAGAAACACTGCAGGATCTCACTTTGATGTGGAATCTGAAATAGCCAGACTCTCAGAAGCAGAGAGTAGAATGGAGGTCACTGGGAGCAGGGAGCCGGGGGTAGTGGGGAGATGCTGGCCAAAGGGTACAAAGTTTCAGTTCTCAGATGAACAGAGGCTGGATCTGATGTATGGCACGGTGACTCGGCTACACACACGGCCGCACGCTCAGGCATGGCCCCTGTTGAAGCCGGAGAGGCACCATCTATCACGGAGGAAGTGGGGGCGACACGCCCCTGCTCCCCACGGCATCGTTGAGGACCGGGTGCGGATAGCCCTTCTCGCAGCGCCTGACTGCGCTTCCTCCCTCAGTGGGCCCACGGCGGGGAGGGTAGGAAGGGGGGCCGGGTAAGTTACAACCATCGGCACCGATGGCTGCACACAACTGCAAGAGCGCTCCCCTCAAAAGCCAGAGCCTCCCAAACTCTGAGTCCCTTCTGATGGCGAAGCTCCTAGTGGGCCACCTACCCCGCCAGCCAGTCACCACTTAGAACACAAGGAGAAGAAAATAGCCCATTAGACCAAATCAGGGGCCCTTAGATGAGACACCAATGAGGTGCTGTCTGGCTTATTAATTACCGTAAGTAAATTAATAACGCACGCCGGGAGCTAATGCAGAGACATGGTCTTACTGTAAACCCCTGGGATCAGCCCAGAGACCACCAGAGTCCAGGGCGGGTGTATTCTGAGCACTAGAGGATCATGGGCGTGGGCAACACCTGGGTGCCCTACCCTACCCCCACCAGACACGGTTACAGAGTTGTCTCAGCAGATCTGGACCCACGTAACACTCGTGGACTTGACCCGGAGTCACCACGTGGATTCAGTGGTCCTGAGCGCCTGCTGATAGGGCAGGCTCCGTGGTCATGAGGAGCATTTCCCTGCATCACAGGCCCCTGGGCGTGAACTTGTGAGGCTGCAGTGGAAGGCACCGCAGGATACTGGCTAAGAGCATGGACTCTGGAGCAGATTCCCCTGCTTGGACCCCTGCCTTTGCCACTTACCAACTGTGTGGCCTTAGATAAGCCATTGACATTCCTGGGCCTCAGGCTGGTCATCTATAAAACGGACACAACAGTTCCTGCCTCATAGGGCTGTCACGGTTTCCAATGGGTTGCTATTAGAGTAGAATGTCTCAGCCTGGGTACTGTTGACATTTGGGGCCAGATAATCCTTTGCTGTGGGGGCCACCTTGTGCATCCCAGGATATTGACTAGCATCCCTGGCCCCCATCCACCGGAAGCAACCCCTTCACCCCACCACCTCCCAGCTGTGACATTGCCAGATGTCTCCTGGGGTGCGGCTAAAATTGCCTCCAGTTGAGAACGACCATCTTAGACTATGTTGTAGATAAAAATGCCCAAATATCAGCAATTTCATAATTATAAAGTATTTAGTAAAAACCTAGGAGTTTTGTTCATGTGTATGTGCTTTATCTGGGGTAAAAGAACCCAATGCTTTCACTCAACGGTCAGAAGGATACGAGCATGGAGAACCTTGGGCTTGACTTCAGCTTTCGCCAGCCAAACGGAATTGCTCTCAGTGACCGTGTCTGTAAAGCAGGTACAGGAATGCCTGCCTCCTAGGGTCCTTGGGAGGGTACAGTGAGGGGAGTGTGAGAGAGAGTGCTCTTATACACTGGGGCACGTCACAACGATGTCATGAGAGTGCCGGCTGGCGGCCTTCTCGGAGCTTAGTTCCTGAGGCTGGAGAAGCAGGCAGGACCCCTTTCACAGCAAATTCATCTCTGGATTTCTATACAAGTGTTGGGATTTGAGAAAAGTGTGTCTCTGGAGGAGTATCGTGGGGGTGTTGGAATAGGAGGTGTGACCGGCTGGACAGTCTCCAGTGATGGCTCAGCCAAGAGGAGACTATGTGGCCTCATCTCGAGCGAAAGGCCTGGGGTGGGTGGGTTGGTGACTGGCCGCACGCTGGCCAGTTAGGGGAATCAGAGTCCAAAAGACCAAACGACAGCATGCTTCCTGAGCCCTGGCCCGCCTCTCATGACGTGCCTCCTGCCCACAGATGTACCGCGGGTTCAGCAAGATGCCCCACGTGCAGTACATCCACACGGAAGCGTCCGAAAGTCTCTGTGGCGTTAAGCTGGAGGTCAACAAGTACCAGTACCTGCTGACAGGTAACGGCCAACGCTAGCACCTGGGCCAGGCTGGCCAGGGCCACTGTCCTTTCCTGCAGAAGGACAGAGGAGGAGTGGTTGACCAGCAGTGTCCCAAGGACCTGTGCCATGCGCTCAGCGAGGAGTGTCTTGGGTTAAGTCCACCTCGAGTTGCCAGGATGGGAGCTTGAGGCTCCTGCCCTGGGGCTGGGTTTTAGTCTCAGCTCTACTGCTGAGCCCGTGGAAGAAATCTAGTTTTGGTTTCTCGGTGCTACTGTAAATTCAAAGGGATTGGCAGGACCCATTCCTTTCCACTCACAGTCAACCTACTAGGTCTGTCTTTGAAAGTCCCTCCCCGCCCCTTTAGGCAGTCAGTGTAGGAAAGGAAATAACCAAACCAAACCCCAAGCCACTGACGGGGGAAGTGAAGAGTTGGTCTCTAGTCCCAGCTTCAGTGCTTCCTGGTCCGAGACCTTCTGCAGATTCCTTAACCTCTCTGAGTTCATCTTCCCCAACTGGAAAATGGGGATACAGTTCATCTTCAGAGGGGGAGGGGAGGGTGAAATAATAAAATCTCAGGACTGAAACGTACCTAGCACAGTACCTGGCCCGAGGTGGGTACTCAGGAGGTGTGAATTCTTTCCCTTCGGGCTGGGCTCCGGAGAAACAACTCTCCCTTTGTGCTCTCTTTCCTAGGCCGTATCTATGAAGGTAAGGTGTACATAGGACTGTGCAACTTCGTGGAGCGGTGGGACCAGCTCACCATCTCCCAGCGCAAGGGGCTGAACTATCGCTATCACCTGGGTTGTAACTGCAAGGTAAGCCCTGGGACGGGCGGGCGGGATGGGATGGGGGGTGCTGACTCACAGCTCCAGAAATACCAGCTCTACCAGCTCCTGCTATCCTGGGTGCTGGGCCCTTGTGCTGGGGAGAGAGGGGCCAGGGCAGAGGGGCAGGTCTGAGCAGGGGTGGAAAGGAATGCTGCCCCCAGGCTGAGTGGCAAAGAAGGCGAGAGAAGAATGCCTTTTTGCTGTCATCTGCCGCCTCTGTGCTGCCCGCTTGGCAGCTGCTGGGACACAAGGGCTCTTCAGGGTCCTTGGCCCCTCCTGCAGCTCAAGTTGGTAGCAGGTACAGGGTCCTTATACTGGCAGGTCCTGCCAAGTAGTCCCAAGTGGGCTCACTCGAGCAGCTGACTCTGGCGGCCCCACCCTGGGCGGGAGAGCTGGCTCAGGACCACTGATGCCACATACTACAGGTGACTCCAACCAGGCCCAACTCCTTGACCCCAGCACAGGGACAAGGCGCATAGCCTTCCTGCTGTGGGAGGGAGCTGGGCTGTTCTCTCACTTGATTCTCATAACTCTGCAGTTTTTATTACTATCATCCCCATTTTGCAGATGAAGAAATAAAGGCTCAGAGACCTTAAGTAACTAGCCCTAGGTCACACAGCTCATTAAGTCTGCTTTCCAGCCTAGGGCAGCCAGACTCCAAAGTTTATGTTTTAATCTTTCTAATTCCTCAATTTCCTACAACAGCTGCAATCGCTCATCTGTGCTTGTTACCATCAGAGAGGGAAAAGCTCTCTCAAATGTCTAATTCTACCACTTTCTGGCTGTGTGACCTGGCTGTGCGTTTACTTAACCTCTCTGAGCCTCTATTACCTTGTATGTAAAAGGGAGCTATATCTATTATGAGAATAAAAACGAATAACATAGCAACGCTTAGCAGACTGTCTGGCACACAGTAGGTGCTCAGTAAGTGTTAGCAAGTATTATTGATATTATTTTCACTAAGGGCCTGATGTGGCTGGGCTCCCCCTGCAGTGGCTCCAGGTTCTGAATCCAGACTGGGGCCAGCATCAGACCTGGGCCCTCCATGGCAGAGTCTACCAACCGCTGGCTATTCTCTAATTGCAGATCAAGTCCTGCTACTACCTGCCTTGCTTCGTGAGCTCCAAGAACGAGTGTCTCTGGACCGACATGCTCTCGAATTTCGGTTACCCCGGCTACCAGTCCAAACACTACGCCTGCATCCGGCAGAAGGGTGGCTACTGCAGCTGGTACCGAGGATGGGCCCACCCAGACAAGAGCACCACCAATGCCACAGACCCCTGAGCACCAGACCCTGCCCCGCCTCACCTCCCTCCCTTCCCGCTGAGCTTCCCCTGGACACTAACTCTTCCCAAATGACGACAATGAAATTAGTGCCTGTTTCCTTGAAAATTTAGCACTTGGAACACTTAAAAGAAAAGTCTGTGCTGTCATACGGAGTTTATTTGGAAACATCCTCCTGGCCCCACCCGACCCCTTCTTTTTGGTTTTGACATCACCTATTTCCACCCCTGGGAATTTTCGGTGCCATGCCAGAGAGAATGAGGAATGTTCACTCCTCTTCCTCCTGATAACATAATCTATATTTTTTTAGGAAAACAAAAATAAAAAAACTAGCGTATTTGGGCACTGTAATACCTAGCCCACTCTCTCCTTCCCCAGCTCGGCATCTCCCAGACCCTCCGCCCTTTGCCCCCCTCCACCCCAGCCCATAAGGAACAGACAAGGGCGCTGCTGAGAGGCCAGCTGGTTCGGGATCAGTCAAGGGTAGCAAACAGATAGACTCAAGGTATGCGGAGGATCTTGCACACCGAGGAGATGCTACTGCGCGTCCCAACCAGACTCTGTCTGTCTGTGTCTCTCTGTATATAAGGGGGGTAGGGGGAGGAAGAAGCTGTGATGGAGGGTCTGAGAGGATGCAGCACACATAGCTGCCCCAGCCCAGGGATGCTCGGGTTGACCAGATGTCCCCAAGTCTGGAGCACACAGCCAGGCCAGAATAACAGAGCTTTCTTAGTCCGTGAAGACTTAACACCTGCCTGAGGTCAGGAGGTAATTTGCCTGCCTTGTACAAAGCTCAGGTGAAAGACTGAGATGATTGTCTTTCCTCCCCTCTCCCCGCAAGATTTCCTCCTGGATAACTCTTTGGTCGATCTGGCCGGGAGCTTGCCCTTACGTAAATTGGAGACATGCACACGCCATACACTATCCACAGATATAGCCAAGGAGACTTGGGTAGAGAATACTATTTCCAAAGTAGCGTTTAGCTCACCTACGGGGCTATGTTTATACACACTTTTGCATACACACACACACACACACACGGGGACATACGCTGATTTTTTTATAGGACACAGAATTCTGTTCGATGCTGTCAAATACACCAATAGTTTAATCTCCTCTATTTTGTTGTTGTTGCTTGTTTGAAGAAAATCATGACATTCCAAGTTGCCTTTTTTTTTTTTTCATTTTAATTAAAATTTGAGATTCTGAACACCCTCAGCATTCCTTTAACTGGGGTCATCTGGCCTCTGCCCCACTCCTTTCTCCTGCTTCATGTTTGGGGCCTTCATTTAACTGCCTTACTGGCTGGGCTCAGATGGGAGATGAGAGTGAGTGTGGGTCAGGGGCCTGGGCACCGGAGGGAAAGCTGCAGAGTGTCCCGCCAAGGCCCGATGGCCACCTTTCCTGGGTTTGGAGACAGTTGCTTCTCTTTCTCCAACTCGCTGGTGGGTGAACGCCACCTCCTGAGGTCCTCACCTCATGGTTTTATTAAATTGGTGGTCACTGGGGAAGCCTGACTCTGCAATCAGCTGTAGGGTTTTTTGTTGTGTGTGTGTTTTGTTTTGTTTTTTTTTTGAAATAAAACTATAATATAAATTCTCCAATTAAATAAAATTATTTTAAGTTTTAGTGCTGAAATGAGATGCGGAGGGTAGGCGATAATGTGTATTTCAGAATTGGGGGGGGGCGGGCGGTGACATGTAACATGACTGCTCTCTTTTTTCAGATTATGGGTATTTATCCTCTGTTAGTATCTGTATCTTCAGTTCATTCCGCTTTAGGAAACAGAGCTGCCAATTGAAACAGGAGAACAAAAAGCAGGCGACATGTGATGTCTCGCACGCACACGCAAATGCCCAGGCAGGTGCTTGGCTGAACCCCAGAGGGGAAGACAGTACAGGCATCCGGCTTCCTTAGGACCGATCCCATGACCTTGCACCTTTCACCTTGCGGTCATGACATTTGGCACGCAGGAAACAGGAGGCTTTGCCATCTCGATGGGGCAGTGTGAGCAGAAGGAGCTGAGGTCAGCAGGCCAGTGGCTTTTAAGGGGTAAGCCCCAGACTTGGTGTTTTTAAGATTTTATTTCAACCTCAAAGTCTTATAAGGCGGAACCCCTAATCCAACCTGTCCAAGTGCCCTCCCACAGCCGCTGACATGAGCCTCTCCTCCATGAGGCATCTGACCATTCTTGGTCCCTGCTGGGGTCACCTCCACTCACACAGCAGGGAGTTGGGGTGAGGCCTGAGCACGAGTCACCTGAAATTTCCCTGCAGACAAGTTGGGCGGGACCGCAGGCCATTTGCCAGGCCCTGGTGAGGAGAACAGGTCCTGGGCTACGAAGGGCCCTTTGCAAAGCGGTGTTGTCAGAGGGCGGTTGTTGAGCTTTCTCTAAGCTATAGCTTTGTATATTTCACCTGTTCACTTACTGTATAATTTAAAGTCATTTATGTAGCTGAGACACTTCTATATTTCAATCATATCGTGACGTTTTATTTTGCTAAATCATGTCATGTGTAGGCTGTAATATGTGTACATTGTGTTTAAGAGAAAAAAAAAATGAAACCCACATGCCACCATTTTCCCGAATCAAATTCTACAGTGGAATGGAGGGTAAATACTTCTGTGCAGGCAGCTGGACTGGCGAACGGGGGAAGCGAGAAGGAACTAGCACGAGACCCTCCGGCCTCCTCTTGGTCAGCGCCCTGTGCTTCCCGGAGCAGGCAGGAGGCGGGGGAAACGGCAAGTGCATTCGTGTCCTTGCTCAGTATCAACTGGCCCCGGGCAGTCTGCCGGTCATTCCCATCCCTTTTCCCCACTAGTCCCTATGGCCATCCAATTGGAAAGCCATGATTTCTCCTAAATCCTGGGCCATGAGAGCCGGAATTCCAAGGTCTCGGTGTCCCCTGGCCATCTCCCTGCCTCCCTCCCCAGGAAACCCCAGCCTAAGCTCTGCCTCTCAGTCCAGTGCTCCAGCTGGCAGGGCATATAATACTGGGAGACTCCTCCTGGGCTTCACCCTCACACAGCCCCAGACCTGAACGGTGGTCAAGCTATAGCCCACGAGCACCACTTTTCATACCATGGTTCTCGGGCAATTTAAGAAAGAGACGATTTATAGGGACAGCTCTGTCTCAGAGGCACCGAGGGAGACGATACCCTTCCCTGCCCCAGCCCGTCACCCTGTGCTTGATGGCCAACATGGATTATCCTAAGATGATACCTAAGTGTTTGGCTCCCGGCTGCCTAAAGTAAAAATACCACTGAAATAGTTTTATACAAGAAAAACAAACGCTTTGAAGGTCGGATGGCAAAAGGAAAACAGAATGGGGATGGGCAGGAGAGAGAGGTTTCAACAGCCTCCTAAATGGCTCTTAGGAGGTGCGAGAAGGGGAAGAGTTAGAGACCGGTTCACGCTCGGAGAGGGCCCCCTAGTCTCCCACACCCCCGCCTTCCCCCTTAGCCAGTCTGCTGCCCTGAGACCCAGAAGTGATGGAGAGACACCAACCAGAGAAAACCCTGTCCAGAAGGAATGTATTTGTTGCTAAATTTCGTAGCACTGTTTACAGTTTTCCTCCATGTTATTTATGAATTTTATATTCCGTGAATGTATATTGTCTTGTAATGTTGCATAATGTTCACTTTTTATAGTGTGTCCTTGATTCTAAACAGTAAAGTGGTTTTATTTCTATCACACACCTGCAGTCTCTCACCTCCTTGTGTCCTGACCGCCGTCGGGGGTGATACAGATCGCGGAGGGCCTGGGAAGCTGGCCAGTCCTGCCTGCCCTGGCTCCAGGCCCCTACATACTCCCCTCGCTCCACTCACCTCTGCAGCTTGGACCCACCTGCCCCAGTCGTTTCCCAGGCAGGGAGAATTTCAGGAGAGGTTCTTAGATTTCCTCCTGGCTGCTGCTCCAGCCTTGACCTTGCTCCCTGATCTTATGGCCAGAAGTCTCAGAGTTCTCCAGAATCTGGATCTTTATCTAACTACCTATTAGTGGTACAGGTACTCCCAGACGGGAGCCCTGACTTGGCCTGCCCTGTTTTCTTCCTAAGAATCTCAACCACGTGGAGGTGGGGAGGGAAAGGCTGCAAAGAGCGGTCCTTGATGCCAAACGCCTGCCTGAAATTCTCAGTGGTTCAGCCCAGTGGGGAATGCCAGGAACTCATGAGGCATCACTACAGATGGCAAAGCCCTCCAAGAGCTTAGGGCTGCCTGTCACCCTCAATGGACTAGGCTGGCTACAAACCCTTCACCCAACTTTCACCCCACTGTTGACAATGTTCCAGGGTACAGCTTTGCTCACATTTGGAGTCTGCTCTACTTTGAACACTCTATACACACGATTTCATTAAATCTCAGCAGCCCAATGAAGTGGTTCCACTGTCACCCCTGGTTTTCAGTGACGGAAGCTGAGGCTCACAGAGGTTAATTCAATTGCCCAGGATCTAGTAGGCAGGCAGAACTAGGATTCACGCTCAGGCTGGTTTGATGATAAACCCTCAATTTTTCCCACTGTGGTCACGCTTTGGTGGAATATGCCCTTCTCCTTCCAACCAGCACATCCTGGATTATACGACTCTCACTGGATCAGATATAAGTGAAAGAGAATCAGTGGAAAACCTCTCTATCCGGTTAGAGGGCTCCCACCTGGAGCCTGCAGTCCTACCCATCAGTGTGTCCAAATAGGACTGCCCAGCTCAGCAGCCCGAGCTCAGAATTCTACAAACAGGCACCGTCCCCAGCTGGTACGATCGGATACCCCATTACTACCCTGGTCCCCAAGACTCCCATTCTTCCCAAGGCAAGCATGGAGCTGCAGCCCCGCACTCCTCTGACCAGTTTAAGAAGACCACCAACTGCACAAGCGGGCATGTCACAGGCTGTTTCTAGCCGCCTGGGACTCTGCCACCCAACTTCTGCTAGCCGTGGGATGGAGAGCTCTCCACCCCATTCAAAAAGATGGTAACCTCTACCCCCCAGCTCTCCAAATTAAGCTCCAACCACTTCCCAGAGATAACCACAGATATATTCAACAGCTGGAATGTAAAGAGACACACAAGGAAACTGCCCTTTAACAATCCATGCCAATCAAGTATCACTGCTTTTATTAAAATCAGAGTGGAAAACAAGTCCTGCACAGGCGCAAATAAAAATAACATCCTACCTTTGAAACATCTTATACCCTTCTTGTCAACCTTTGACCCCAACATGCTCGTTCAAGCTGTCCCCTTGTTTGCTGAAAACTCCCGATGTTCCCAAGGAATTCTGTCCACCTCTGTCATCTGTCCTACTGCCTTAAACGTCACCTGCAGAGATGACTCTTTCCTTAGGAGAGCATTCCCAGGAGACATCACGGCTCTCCCTGAGAGCCCACCCCCTCCGCTCGAATGGACCGAGAACATAAACGTGTGTTGGCTCCAGGTCGCACAAATAGACAGCGTAATAAAGGCCACTCACCATTGGCTTATGGTTGGGAAAGAACGTCTGCTCCACGAGTGGGAACTTCTCAGGACCCAGGGAATGGAAGATCTTAATGAGCTGAGAAAACTAGGCCAGAAGAGGAGAGAACATCGTTAACACTTGTCACCTAGTGCCGCGGAACTGCCCCCTTGATCCCAGGCCTCGAGCATCTGACTGTTCTGAGCTGAGCTACAGTAGCTGCTCGCCACCTATGGGGTAAAGGCCACCGCCCTTAGCTGGACATCTGTCCTCTCCATCATCTGGCTGCGTCAACCCCTTCGATCCTGCCAGGCCACCGAGTTCAGCTCAATGACTTCTAATGAGCATTTCCCACACCCTCGGCATTTCACACAAGCAGCACAACCCGCAGATGTTCGGGCCGTGCCCCTGCCCCCCACCCGTCTTTCTAGAGAGGCATGTGGCGCAGCTGTTTATGGCACAGACCCGGGGTTCAAATTCCTGCTCCACCACTTGTTATCTGTGTAACCTGGGAAAGTCATTGAGGGTCCGGGCGTCTGTATCCCCATTTGTAAACAGAGGAAATGAGAGATCCAACCCCCCAGGGGTGTCGTAAGGATTAAACAGGCAGTGCATTAAAGGGATTTAAGCGTATTTGGGGGATTGGAGGGTGGTATTTTAGGAAAAGTCTCTCTTACAGGTAACATTTAAATGGAGACTCAAATATAGCAAGTGAATGAATGAAACAAATGAATACAAGGTGGGGAGATTGAAGCTGAGCATGATAACAATGGACTGAACACCAGACAGCACACGTTTCTGGTACTTACTAAGTACCAGATGATATATGATAGACTATTAGTAAGAACAGTTGGCACTGCCTCTTACTGCTAATATTATAAGATACCACTGCACCATAATAGGTGTCATAGGGTAGGTAGTTGTTGGGCAGTAATTATAAGTAGGGGGCTGGGATCCAACTTGCTCATTCAAGTTGCTTAAAAAAGACCCTTTTACGTGTGAGGCCCCCGTGCTGGGACTGGGCCCGTTTCGGGCCTGGGAGTTCCTCCCGCTGGCCCCTCTTCTCTCGGGGCCAGCCCGGCCCGTCACCTACCACCCAGGGCTTGCTGCAGAAGTTGTAGACGGAGTAGAGGGAGTTGACGGCGGGCAGCCCTCCGTACTGGAGGCCGATGACCAGGCTGCGGTAGTCCTCGCCCAGGGCCATGCTGTAGGCGTGCTGGCGGACCAGGAGGAAGTCGGGCTTGAAGGACCTGCCGAGAGAGGGGCGACAGCAGGGTGACCGGGCTGCGGGCTGAGGGGACACCGGGGCACTGGGCCACGGCCTGCCGGACAGGACGGACCCCGCACGGTCGCTGCCCGGGGGAGCCCTCAGTTCAGAACTGGGATGGGGGGGGGTGAGGAGGGCCAGTTGCAAACACAAAGAAAAATGACTGAAAACGACTCTCGCTTTCTTCTGCTTCTTTTTGGGGCTGTTTTTTCTGTAAGTGGCAGGGCCAGGTCTGTGTGGCCTTGAGGCCCTGGTCCCCAGCCACTCTGCAGCATGGCTTCCCCGCTGTGTATTTCAGGTGTGTCTTTTCTCTTCCAAGGAAACAGCGGGTACTAATGCAATGGGCAGGTCCCTCTGCAGACACGATCCTGATTCTCGCTCACACCGACCTGGGTAAGGCTGGGGCTCTATCTCCGTTTCACATGATCCATTTCACAGATGGGAACACTGCGGCTCAGAGAAGCGATGAATCTCCCCAGGTTACAAAGCCGGTTTGAACTCGGGCCATCTGGCCCCAAGTCCACGCACTTTGCCTCCACTGCAGGCGCCAGCAGGACTCACACATTGTTTCACTCATGCTGCCCAGGATCCATCCGTGTCCGAATTCCTCACTTTAGTCACAGGAGAAAATCAGCCTCACGGCAAGGGGTTCACACTCAGCTGGTATTTCCCGCTTAGCTCATCCGGAGTCAGACGCTTAGCGTCAAATAAACTGTGTCTCTTTAAAATTATTCAAAGGTAATTAAAATAACTGTCACGGGGAAAGCGCTGCCTCCACTGAAACCAGAGGGAAGAACATGCTGCAGGTGCAGACACTGCTCAGATAGTTGTGAGCTGGGCCTCACCGCACACCCAGCACCTGGCGCGGACACGGGCGTGACAAGCACATGTTGAGGGAATGAATTAGGGGCATGAACGTCCCCTCATCCCCAAAGGAAATGGCCAAGTTTCCCCGGCTAAGTCGTAACTCATCCCTGGGGACTGCCATCACGGGCATGGTTACCACCAGGCTTATGGCAAAGTTCAGTCATGTCACTCTAGGGTTAGGGTTAGGGGTAGGTTTGAAGCTTGGAACTTTATGCCTATGTCCTTATTGTATTCTTAGAACGGAACCAGTCCAACCAGCGTATTTTACATATGGGGACACTGAGGCCTGTAGCAAGGCAGTGGTGTGCCCCGGGTCACCAGGGAAAACCCCTGTAGGGCAGGAGGTCGCAGCCAGGTTTCTCCCTCCCTGTCCCTGCCTTACCAATGTTTTTCGGTGGGAGATGGTGTTAATGAACGCAGGGATAAATGAATGGATGGGAGAATGAACGAGTGAACACAGTGGAATATCTACTGGAAGAGGGAGGAACCTCTTTCTTGTGGTCCTGGAGAAGAGAAATACGACTGATGGCCAAAGTAGCCAGGAGATAACATGTGGCCCCTGATAACTCGGGGGCTGCCTCACACGGTAACAAGTTCCGCAAATATGGAGGGATGTCAGCGTCACCAAGAAAGTTTTAACCCCAGGGAATTCAAGTTGGACCCCATGACCTCTTCAGATTCTCAGGTACAATATGTAAAACATAAACACTTTCCACAAGGGCAAACAAGGCAGCTGTTGGAATTCTGCCATTCGCCGCTCCAAAGAACGCACAGCGTCCTTCCTGAGAGTCTGCCGTATGAGGGATTTGCAGAGAAATAAGGGGCTCCAGACAGGTGACCTGTGGCATGCAGTTCCTTTCTCCATACCCAGCACCCCAGCTTCTCTAGCCACGTCCTGAATGTCACCCAAGGCCATGGCCACCACCAGTTACCAGGCCCTGGCAGTGGGCCAAGCACCCTGGTAGAGGTCGTGTTCATGAAACTCACAGTCCCAGGAGCTGGGTGCAATGCCAGAGCATAAAGACTTGCTAAATGACCAAATGCGCAAGCCAGTGAAGTAACAGGGGCCTGTACAAGGCGCTACGGTGGCCCCAAGGTGTGTTCACCCCTGTCTGCGGGAGGGGGTGGGTCAGGGTGTACTAGAAGGCTTGGGTCTTGAATGAAAAGCTGGGATTTGCCACATGGGCAGGGCTTTGAGGGTATTCCAAGTAGAGGGAATGGCGCCTGAAACTGAATGGTTGGACCCTTGTACTGCGGGTAGAGGACTGTGCTGGTTTTGTTTCATATGCTCAGTATCTTTTTTTTTTTAAGAGCCCATGATAAAATCCTCTCCAATCAGAGAACCCCCTTCCCCTGGGCAGTAACTGGTCCAAGGCCTGCATCTCTAATGTAACAGGCCCACCAGAATCCTCCTTGGGTGCTGGGAGAAAGGAGCGACAGAGATCATTCTTGCTACGTGGAGGGACCCCACCGATAACAGAAGTGCCGCTGGGATCAGAGGCAAGGAGGGGGAGTCCCTGAATCCTGCTGAGCCTGACACCAGAGTCATTTTCATCTTCTGAGTTACTGAGCTATTAGCCTCCCTTTTTTGCCTACACTGGTTGAATGGGCCCTGTTACTTGCCATCACTGTCCTTCTGACTGATCCTGGGAGGAAATGACAAAATTTATAGTCCGTTACATGCTGGAGTATAGGGTCTGATGAGGTGGCAACGAGAGATGAGCTTGGGTAAAAAAAATCCCCTTCCTGCCCCTGTGTCTCCACATCCCAAGCCCTGAGTCTTTCAGGCCTGGGCAGGAAGGCCTCCTCTAGTCCCACACAAGTCGGCACATCCAGGTTACCTGGGTTTTGTTGTTATTTAGGCTTTGGACTTAATATGAGCTGTATTATTTGGGCTTCTGCCCCCAGGTCTTTCTCAGAAGTGGCTGTTGGCATTGGAGAGGAAAGCAAGAACAGCCCATAATTAAATGGTGAGATGGGACAGGTGATGCGTTGCTGGGAGATTGCTGGGTGTTTCAGGCAGCGTCGGGAGGCAGGGGGCCGAAGGCTGAGGGGCTTTTAACCATCGGAGTATAATAATTCCCTCCAGTATGCAGATGCCTGTGATGGCGAGAAAAGGTTTTGGCTGGGCTTTGCCTGGGACCCAAGTTTATAAGCAGAAGCCTCATTATTTTCAGCTGCGTGACTGTTACCCTGTAACTGTCCCTTGTTCCTCAAGAGCCAAATCAACAAAGGGTGACAGTGATGCTCATTTGGTCACATGCTGACCTGTGACACCCAGACCTGACCCCAGCTGTGCCTGGGGAGGCTCCGGACTGTCTGACACCTGTGCCCACCAACAAGAGAGATTTCAGGTTCCCTCTCAACTGTCTCCACGCTCCTCACAATTCCCCTCCACCCCGCTCCACCCCAGAAATTCAGCCTCGGTACAAATCTGGGAAAAAGAGACCGAGAGAACCGAGTAAACCAGCAAAACCAGGTGTCCTGAGGAAAAGGGGAGATCGAGGCATCGACACGGCTGCTATGCTCTTGAGGGCGCACGGACCCTGTGCTGCAGCAGGAATGGGACACGGGTGTGCCCACTGCAGACGGAGGGGTGCGAATGGGCCGCACGGAAGGACTCTGGGAACCAGCGATGCTCCCACCCGCCGAGGCTGAAAAGAAATTAGGGGACAGCCAAGCAAGAACCTGGCGGCGAATGGACAGCAGGACGCTGTAGCGAGGCCCGGGGGGCGGGGAGCCACCGCGGCTGCCAGCTGCACCGCGTGACGAGCGTGGGGAAGGGGCCGGGTGGGGCTCACGGACGGCGGGCTCTCTGACGAATCCCGGGCTCTGTAAAGTACGAGGAGATTCATAAAACACAGACCCGAGTTACGGGAGGAGGTGGGCCTCCTCTCCCTGCTCAGCCTCGAGGCCCAGCCCGGTCTCTTCCTTCCCTTTTGTCCCAGAGAAGGGGCCCTCGCTCCTGCATCCTATTTCTCCATCACCCTGGGGATCCCACATGTTATGGGTTGAACTGTGTCCCCCCAAAACGGTAAGTTCTCAGCCCTGTTACCTGCGAGTGTGACCTTACTGGAAATAGGTCTTTGCAGATTTAACCAAGTTAAGATGAGGTCATACTGGGGTAGAGGGGACCCCAACCAGATGACAGGTGAATTTATAGGAAGTGGGAGGCTCGGACACAGGCACACAGGGAGGAAGGAGAGCACAGCACGTGACGACGGAGTTAAAGATCGGAGGGACGTGTGCACATGCCAAGGAACGCCAAGGATGGATGGCAACCATGAGGGGCAGCCTTTAGGGGCAGCCTGGCCCTGCCGACGCCTCCATCTCAGGCTTCCCGACTCTGGAACTGTAAGAGGAGAAATGTCTGTTGTTTAAGCCACCCAGCCGGTGGCACTTGGTTACAGCAGCCTCAGGAAACAAATACATGGCGCCCCCCCCCCAATATTTCCTCTTTCTAGCAGCTTCCAGAACCTTCTGCTTCCTTTGTTGGTGTGTATATCCTTCCACAGCCCCCTGCCCACTTCCCAAATCAACAAGCCCAACCCCAGCAACAAGGAAGCCTTCGCTTCAAGGTCGAAAACGAATGGACAGTTAAGTAACGTTCATGTGTACATACAAGATGTAACAGGTCGACACACTGATTAAATGCACGAAGGTTTGTTTGGAAGGATGGTCACCAAAAGGCTAACGTGACTGTCTCCGAAGGGGGGATGGGAAATGGGGTTTTAAATTGTTCTGCAGACTTCGTGGTACTATCTGTATTTTTTTTTTTTTTTTTAAAGAACAGAACACAGAGTGTTTTTACAACCAGGAAAAAACAATGAGGTTACTTTTATTTTGGAAAAAACCGATGAATGTAGCAATGGTGTAACATCACGGAAAATGCTTATGGGACCTTTTCATGGGACATAAAACAATAGAAGAGACTGTGTGAAGACTAAAACACTGCAAAATGATGGTCCTGGGAGGAAAGATGGACAATGGCTCACTTGTTACGGTGGTGAGGCAGCAGGTAATTTCATTTGCTTTGAAAATTTCCATTTTTGTTATAATGTGGTTTGGGCAATTATCCAGACTTTCGGTTAGCATCAACACATAATAGATGAACAT